TTAACTGTTTGTCCCCAGGAAATTGACGATTACATTGTCCAAGCCAAGGAAAGAGGCTATGAGACGATGGTTAACTTCGGGCGTCAAGGTTTGAATTTGGCGGCTGCAGCCGCGGTCACAGCAGCAGTAAAGGTGAGGTTTCCTTTGTCGTGTCTGGTGTTCCCGTCAGCCCCATTCAGAAAGGTGGCCACTTTTATTTTAGATCATTATAAAACTGTGGCAGAACTCTTTTTTTATGTTTATTCTAGCACTTGAATAAACAAGTCAGTAATTTTAATGATATTTTAACACTTCATTTTCTATGTTATTTGGGAGTCCAAGGCCCTTATTTTATTATGAAATTAAAGGTAGTTAATAAATTAAACATACCTGCAAATGTCATTTTGGGGTACAGTTCCCCCCCCCCTTTTAACCTTGAAGTAGTTTTGATAACGCACCTTAAGTAAAGATGACCATTCTTTTCTCTGTGTCTTTGGTCTCTCTCTCTCTCCTCTCTCTCTCTGTGCCACTGCCTTGCTAGGATTTCTGGCTTCCTTCTGCACCTCTGCTTCAACCAATTTGAGGTAACTGGTTATTCAAAATAAAGCATGTAAAAAGTTTGTTCTGAGTCACTAATATCGTAGCTGTTCCTTCCAGCCGGGTCGCTGATTGAACGCCTTCTCTGGAGACTGGCGCTGTGGCTCTTGAGCTCCTGTGCATGTAGTAATTGGTGTGGCTTATTTTCAGTAGCACAGCACAACTGATTTTAGCGTGTGGTATACGAGAAAAAGAAAACAACGGACTTCACACCCCGAAAGTGCTGACGGTGACTTTTAAAGTCACCGTAAGCCGTTTGCTAATTTGTGTATGCCTTGGCTGCTTTGTGTATAAAACAAAGGTGACGTGTCTCTGAACATACATGATAGTACTGTGCTTGCTCAGAGTGGGAGCCAGGGATCCTTAATTTCATGGGGATGGTTTATTATATGGAGTAAAATTGGGGTAGTTAGTATTCTACTTTCAAGTCAGGCTCTTTTGTTGTTTGCTGTTGTTTTAGGGTTTATTTTTTTGTTAATTGTGTGTATGTGTCTGTGTGTACCTATGTGGGTATAATGCCTGTGAGCACAGGCGCCTGAGCAGTCAGGAAGCCTAGGATTCCCTGGAGCTGGAGTTACAGACAGTTGTGATCCTCCTAATGTGGACGCTAGGAACTGAAAGAGGATCCTCTGCAGGAGCAGCAAGTGCTCCGAACTTCGGAGCCAGCCCGCCAGCTCAAGGCAGGCTCTTTTTAACTGAGCTGTGCTGTGGAAAGATCCAGTTCAGCTAGCGGTGGTTTTACAGAACTGCAGTGGTGAAAGAGTGTTTGTGGGAGGGCACTTTAACTCTGCAGAGACCCTCGGCTCACCCATCCACGTTAACAGAATCAAAAAGGGAGAACGCGGATGCTCTTCCTGGCAGTGTTGCAGTGAGGGCTAAGCAGAAATTCACCAATAGGATATAAGTAGATAACCGTATGGAAAATGGTTATTGATTATTGTATAATAGCATGCTACAATGTTTACTACTATGTAGTTTTCCTCTTCCTGGGCTTGTAAAGAGCTTTCCTTTCATTAAAAGAGACGAATAAACTCGAAAACAGCAACATTTTGAGCTTATTTGAGTTTATTTTGCTTTTCGTTTCTTGCTTAATGAAAATGTATTGCTGATCACATATCAACCATGAAGACCGCCCAGCAGATCCATCCTTCACAACTAGACAGTGTGAAAAGGGAGGGCTGAGGCAGTTACCGAGACAGGGAAATCATGCCATTATGTTGCAGTGTTGCGGGCAATGAGCCTCCAGATCCAAGGGCCCATACATCACCGAGCCCCACAGGGGAAAGAATGGCCATCTCCAAGCAGGGCCATCACATTATCCCCACCCCACCCTCACCAAACACCAACAAGGAGGACAGAATTCTTAAAGATTTCAGAGATGAAAAGCACGTCATGTTCAAATAATCTAGCATCAGAATAGCAGTAAACTTGTACTTAATGAGAGAGAAGCATGAAGGCAGTGTGACATCGCCCATGATGTCGTCCTGTGTGACATCACCCATGATGCCATCCTGTGTGACATCGCCCATGATGCCGTCTTGTAACTCTGGGCCAAGTTCTATACTGAGCAAGCCTGTCAATCAGGAGTAAACTTAAAATAGTTGAAAAAGAAAAGATTGCGCTTTTCTTTTGAAGTTCTCCATATGCAAACACATGAAATGTATCAAATGCACACCCTTTTCAGGATAGGTATGTTCTGCCAAGGCTAAAGAGGAGGGACAGGAGACAAGGAAACTCATGGGATCTGGGAAATAGGTTGTCCAGCACAGAAGGGAGATGACAGAACTCCCTAGGACAATGTGCATCAAGTCCAGAATCCAGCCGGCAGAAGTGGATTCTGTGGATCAAGGTGCTAACAGAGATGCTTCTGAAAGAAGTACGGAATTGAAACATGGAGAATAGAATAGAATTAGCTTGATGCTGTGCAGGGGTGACACAATCCCAGCCATGTGTATGGTGTGACCCATCGAAGAACTCCCTGGCTGCAGACAGTGTGTACCTGGGCATGGTCACCATGGGAAATGTATTGGTGACTATGCACAGAGTAGGACAGCTAAGCAAATGAAAATCAAAAGGGCAGTTATTAACTTTGGGGCGGGGGGACAACAAAAATCCTACTAGACACCAAGTACAATAATGGAACCTGGCCCAGCCCAGCAGTAAGCAGAAGAATTTAACAACTGTCATCTTGCTATGTTGAGACATGGGGGTGGGGCAGAGGGGCGGAAGTGGAAAAGAAAACTCTCACTCTTACAACACAAGTCAGAGGGTTTATAGTGTCTGCACCTAGAGTGGTGTGACCACAGGTGGCTTCCTGCTTCCCATCTAAGCTCAGCATTGGTTGACTTTGCAGGCCAAGTGGATATATTTATTTACACTTCAAAGACATTTCTGAACTTGTCTTTTTTAAAAAGCCTCATTCGACGTGATCCTGTATAGAAAACTGCAAATTCAATTTCAGCTTTAAATGTGCACTGAAAACACATTTGAGGACCTTGTTTTAGTAAATGCAGAAAGAAACCCCCACAGTTCTCCGTTTAACACTCAGAAACATTTCTAATGTATTTTCTTGCTTGTATGTGTGTGCATCGTGTGCACACCTGGTCCCCAGAGGCCAGAAGCTGGTGTTGGGTCCCCTGTAACTGGAGTTACAAGTGTTGTGAACTATTATGTGGGTGCTGGAAACTGAACCCACGTCTTTAGTAAGAACAGCAAATGATCTTAACCACTGAGTCATCTCTCCAACTCCTGAGACGTTATAGGTTGTAACTACTTGTAAGGTATTTACTGTATCTTGACTTGTATTTGCAAAGCCTATTCTTGCTTCATGAGAAGTCAGCAACCCTCACAACATGACTTTATCCTTATCCCCTCATTTTATCTTATTTGGCCTTCATCAGTTTTCACCATCCTACCATCCTGTATATATGGCACACTTACTGTCTCTACCTACCACCTTGTCTAAGATCGGTGCTGATGATGCATTCTAAGATAGTCGGGCTCTGTGGCCTCGCCGGCTGCTTACTGTCTGCCTGTAGCCAGTGTCTCTATTGCTAACTGGAAACTTTAACCCATCCTTTGGTTGCTAGTCTGTTCCTAAAGATTGTTATCTCAACGAAAGACTTTTCTATAAAAATGCCACAAAAGATAATCCTGTATCTCCTTCCTCCTTTGTGATTCATGGATTTCACTTCTATATTTAACAACTCAAAATCAACTCTCAAACTGCCACCCCCCCCACAGGAAACAGAGACTATAAAGCCACCACAGTCCTACAAAACAAGCCCACCGCTGAAGGTCACTGTCCTACTTTGCTGGCATTGTGGTTCTTTAACCAAAAAAAAAGTCTCAGTGCATGAGATGATGTCATGTTCTCATGACTCCAGGAGTGCTAGACACTCGATTCTTGGTTCTGTTGTGTCTATTAGAAATAGTCAATAACTGTGGTGAGTACTACATAATGTCGGCTCTGTTGGCCTCGAGGTATACTGTGCTTTTTTTAAGTGGCTGAAATTAGTTTCATCTCTGGGGACATTTAAAAAAAAAAAATCTATTGTCACAAAAGGACTTACTGAAGCAGACATTTCATACTCAAGTAAATTGGAACCAAGCTAAGAAATAGGTCATGATTAAAGAGAAACTGAAAGAAAAATGATACCAAATGTGTGCATTGTTTAATGTGTGTGTGTGTGTGTGTGTGTGTGTGTGTGTGTGTGTGTGTGTGTGTGTGTACATATATACATATACATGTAGTTTGTTAGAAATATCTTTCAGGCTAAAAATTCTTACCCTGGTTGTATTATATTTAGATAAAGGTGATTTCCTGCCTAGGATCCCCAGGTTGAATCACCTGAGCGTGTCAGAGATGAAAACAGGAATCTAATCAGAAAATTTATGACACCGTAAAGCCATTTTCTGAAAATGTTACTCAGTCCTCTGGCCTCATTACCAGGCATCTGTTCACAAGGTCAGTGTACAAGTTTATTTTGGCTGAGCAAAGCACAAATACATGAAGGACCTTCAAGGATTCTGCTGAGGATGCTCAACGTCCCTGCTTCCGCGTGGGAGACGCAGGTGGCATTGATGTGACTGACCAGCATCCATGCAATGAAGGGCAGGTGAAGAGCAGAGCTGCTGGCCCCTGTGGCTACCTCAGGATTCACTCTTCTCATCACAGCTCTTTAATAGACCCCCCCCCAAAAAAAATTATAGAAATTAGAGCTCTGCAGGTAAAATTACTGCAATCTAATTGACTTTTTAAGCCACCATTATTGGCTTCAAATTCTTGACCTCTTGCTCTCTGTTTTAATGGCTTTCTGTCTGTGAAAGGATTTTGAGATTATTCAGTTATAGAGTCCCATCCCCTTTTCTGTGGGGAAAAGGAAATTCTGCCTGTTTCCTTACAGTCCACAGAGTGGATTAATGTAACCGACACTGAATTGTAGAACACTTGAATTAGTCTGGATTTTTTTTTTTCCTTTTTAAGTTTGGATTCTCCCACATATCACCCACAAGACTGTAGGCAAGCCGTCTACACTGATGTTAGAATTAAACAC